AAGATTCGCAAATATGATAAATTTGAAGAGACCAATTCATATCAGTAGCACATCTTCCAGTAAAACCATGTTCTAATTCCCCAGGTTTAAGAAGATATCTCACTAAGTCATAGTAGGATAAATAATGTTCATCATATCTAATAGGTCTTCTATGTTTTACAGCTAGCTTAGCAATTATTTTTTTCCCATTAAGTGCTCTTTCTATCGCTTTATTAGAAGATATATCTATTAACTGAGTAGGGATACTATTAAATATATCATCATTAACATGAAAGCTTCTAACCCAATCTTTAGAACGATTTGATAAAGGTAACAGAAAATCCTTAGTATCTTGCTGAATATAAGAATGTTTTTCAAATTCCTGATGATCACGTTCAGCTATAGTATTACCTTCTTTCAAGTTAGCATATTGTATTTTTATATCATGACTAAGTAATAAACTCTTATAATTACCTATATATTCCATTTCCTTATTAGAAATAAAATAATTCAGCCAAGAGAGAGACTCCCTTCAACCTTCGCAATTGACATTATCATTTCTTACTTGGTTTCTTGAAAATAAACACATAATAATAACAAGGTCATCCTAAGCAAACCGATAGCGCATCATAAATAATTTTTTTTTGATTATAATAGTTGTTCTATATTTATTTAATATGTTCAATGTTTCACAAAATCAGTTATTTATATAACATGTGTTTTCCTTGGGAAGGCAATTATTATATGGTTATTTAAACATGGCCGTTAGATGTTTTCTTAAATACTTCGTAACAAACTCTTTGTTTTTATTGTATAGAAAATTTCATAAAACAAATGCCTAAGGAAAGATGTTCATAATTATAAAAATATTTTACTAACTTGAATGGTTATAAAGTTATGGATGTTCATTTTTGACGCATTTAATTTCATGAGACTAGGTTTAATGGTTGTGGAATTATGAATTTTATTTGGATGGAAATTTGCTTAAGAAAAATTTAGATGCAAGTGCAGTATCTTTTATAAATTGTTTGAGCTTTTAACTTCTGAAATTATATATTATTTTGTTTTTTTATAAATTAATATCTTTTCGTTGATATAATTCTTTCTTTTAAATAATGAAATTGAAGAATAGGCCTATTTAAACTAAAGCATGCGAAAAAAATAATTTTTGTCCGTGAATAATACTTTGGATCAAAATTATATAATAACAAGTTAACGGAACTTTATGGATAATTAATTGATGGATTAAATTTCTTTTATAAATTTATTTATTATATATAAAATATATTAAACGGATAAAATTTGAGAAAGAGATGGAGTTGGTGGTAAAATCTAAAATAAAGTCTATAAAATTCTACGAGTTCTTTAAATTCTAAATCTTAAATTCGACTAAACAAATGAATATGATTGTGAAATTATTCCTGATGTCATGAAAAGTTAAATTAATCATTTGATGATTAATAAGTATTATAATATATATTTTTTTATCAATAAAATTTCTACATCATGAACCAATAAGTCAAATTGATCGTTATTATTATCTAAGACAAAAGTAAATAATTTTAGTGATAAATTGTATCAAGGTGTTAAAAGTTGGAATGATAGAATTTTGAGCGTTGATTACTTAAAGAGTGTTGATTACTTAAAGAGCATTGATTTCTTTAAAATATTCAGGACAGATATACGTTAAGGAATCGGGTAAATTTGGTAAGTTAGTTATTCAGCAGAGTAACTTTAAGGAGTTCGGTAAAGTTGGTAAGCTTGTTATTTGAGTTTCAGCGCAATTGAGTTCCATCAAGGAGTTAGGTAAATTTGGTAAGATGGTTATCCGAGTTTTAGAGCACGAGAGTTTCGTTAATGAGTTGGGTAAAGTTGGTAAGCTAGTTATGAAAGTTTTAGTGCAATTGAGATTCGTTAAGGAGTTGGGTAAAGTTGGTAAGCTAGTTATGAGAGTTCTTTCGCAGTTAAGATGAGTTAAGAAATTAGGTAAAGTTGGTAATCTAGATATGGAAGTATAGGAACAATAAAGTTTCGTTAAGTTGTTCGGTAAAGTTTGTAAAGCTAGTTATTCGAGTTTTAGTGCAATTGAGAACCGTTAGGGAATCAGGTAAGGTTGGTAAGCATGTTATTTGAGTATTTGAGCAGTTAAGAGAAGTTAAGGAGTTAGGTAAAGTTGGAAGGATATTTATTTGGGAATCGTTACAATCGAATTTTGTCAATTTTCGATATCTTTGCAATACTAAGGGATTCAATTTCAATATGTCATCCTTATTCATATCTGTAATAGTTAAACTAACAATAGTATCATCAAAAATTAATAATTCAAGATTTCTGATTCTCTTTTCTAATTCATTAATAATTTCTTGCTTTTCTTTAGATGCTTCCTCTCGTTCTCTAACCTTTTTTTCTAAATTATTAATCTTTTCTTCTAAATGATTAATAATCTCTTGGGTTTCTTCGCTAACCATTTCTTCTAAATTTTTAATAATTCCTTGCTTATATTTAGTTTCTTCTTCACGTTCTTTGAACTTTTCTTCTAAATATTTGAATTGTGGACGTTACTTTGCTCTAACTCCTTAATTCTCGTTTCCAAGTTATTATAGGGCTTTTTTAATTTTTTTTTTTTTTATAACCATATTGAGTCTATGGTTATTACGATGAATTCCGTCATCAAATATTACTTTTGCTCAGCCCTCGGTTTAAAGTTTTTCCAACTGTAATTAATTCCATAAATAATCTAGTATGCGGATAACTTAAAAAATCTAACCGTTTCTTGTTTTGCATATTAAGTTAATTGCTATATGTAAATTATTTAATCCTCATGCATTATAAAATGGTCAACATGAACCTAACCTTAATGCTGGTCATTACGTAGAAAATTTAGGCGGGTTAAACTTCCCGTCATTCCACCTTTTGAAAATTTGCCAAATGAACTTATTTTTCTTGAGGGAAATTCTACTTTGTATAAAATTTCAAAAGAACGAAAATGATGAAATAAAATGAAAGGAATTAACCATTATGTTAATGAATTAATCAATTTAATTTACTTTGATAAAATTTTTTTGTGTTATAAAACTACTATAAACTGGAAATAACAAGTTAAAACAATTTTATTATTAACTGAACCAGCATTTTATTTCATCTAGCTTTTCAAATAAAAGCTATATTAGAATTAAGACAATTTTGAACTTTTGTAAAAATATTATTGAATAATTGGGAATTGGACATTCAATTCCAATAAAATTGAACTGCGCAAAGTATTTACTGCGCCTTCTTAGAATAATTATATAACAACTAGGGAGCCTGATGCATAATTAACCACTGACACCACCTCGCTGACCAAGTCTTTGGAAGCGAACCAACCCGAAAGAAGAACCTAAAGAGCGCAAATTTCGAAAAAAAAGGTCGCTGCGCCCCGAAGCCATCCAAAAAATAATTTAATAAGAATAAATTATCTACCGATCTAACTAGAAAGAAGATAAAATTAAGAATAATACTTATTATGCAGCTCGATGCAATTCAAGTAAATCGAACTGATGAATCCGAAAAAGAACCCGAAAAATAAAATAATACTTCGAATAATTAATAATCAAAAAAGAACATTATGTAAAAATAAAATGAAAAAAAAACCTTCCTATAATACTGGAAAAAATCCAATCATCATTGCTGCAGTCTGAAGTTTTCAAAAGAGAAAACTAAAAAAAAATAAAATAGAATTGAATCACAGGAGTGGAAAGAAAAGTGCGTAAGGTTTTTGGACAAATCGACGTCCCGACGCGATCACCTTTATCATTTTAAAGCTTAAAGTAGTAAGAGAAAAATAAGAATAATTAATTGTTTATATTTTTTTTTATTCTTGATTTTACCAGATTTAGGTTAAAGAATATTTCGGGAACAATTTTTTTTGTTAATAAAAAAAACTTAATGCATAAAAGCATTTGCATATGCTACATGTATAAGGACCTCATCTAGCAATTGAACTAAACAATAATTGATTTTGTTGGTTAGTTTGATCAGTACAAAAAGTAGTAATCAATAAACTTCTACAATATGGTACAGGTTGCCATTTAAAAACAAAAAGAATTTTAGTTCGTTCACTTAAAATTCAAGATCTCTACATTTGAATTTGGAATTATTGTAGCCCAAATGCGCTAATATTCGAAATGTGCATGTTCTAATTATAATCAATTTGTATTTGTAAGCAAAGGATTTATTTAAAGGAATTGTAATATTTATAATCAGCAAAAAAATAGAATAATATATGTTTTATAAGTCAAACAAATATTATTAATGAGTTTATCCTTATAATTAGGTTCACTATAAAATAACAGGGTAAGAATTTATTTGATGTCACATTCTAATTGACTTCTTGCTCGACCTGTTTCCTGTTGACATGTTTGTCTCACATATGATAATGCCCACCATGAAGTGCGCTCACTAATTTTTTTATCTGCTATAGTATATTTTAATAATATAATTAATTAAAATAAAACGAAACCAGGAGCAAAATTCCCTTACACCAATCTTTTCGAATGCCATTGTTGTGATTTATTGGAATAAAGATAATTCGGGTGTCTGATACTTCAGTGCAGGTTTAAATCTACCTAATTTTTTCCTTAATCTTTAAGGAAGGTAATGGAATTTTTCAGAACTGTGGATAATGTATCCTTAAACGATATTAGGTAGGTCCCAATCAAAAGGTTTCCACGTGTCAGAACGAGCTGTGAATTGTCTTCCGGATAAAAACAGGACCGCTCATCAACTTTTATTCTAAACGATCATTGACTTCATCCCTCTAATGGCATATCTTGACATAATGGTTACTACACACTCCTACCTTTTTTAATTAGAAATTCTGATTCGAATTATTGGAATATTCTAACTTTTTTTATTTGCATTACAAATAATAATAGATTATATCTTAACCTATAATATTAATGTCATCATTATTTCCTTCAAAGATGGATCGATACAAATGGCGATACGGAAGTTGTCAATAAAGCCGACGAAAAGAAAAAGAAATGGTAAATATATTAATAGTCATGCCAAATAGCACTAGGGAGAAGAGGTTCTTATATTTTCATGTTAATATTTTAGTTACCAACAGAAGAACATGAATGTGCAAGCAGTGAGCTTAGCAATATGTTTGTGAATGTATTCAGTAATACATTATCTACAGTGTTGATGACGACGAGATCAAAAAGCAGGCAGGTTCTAACAGGTATTATTTGTTAATCATATTAGTTGCATACTAATTATTGAAAGAATGAAATATGAAATTTTTCATAAAATATAATCGCATTATCCATAAAAAAATATATTTTATTATTATATTCTGTGACCAAATCAATTATGTAAAAAGCATTTCGAGAACTTTTACATTCCAAAGTTTTATTAAACCCGTGGGATTTTTGCGTTTAAAAATGTAAATGAACATAGAATTGGAAGTATAAAAATAATGGTAGTGTGGTTTATATATATATGATAGCAGCTTTGTAAACCCTGTAATTATATATTAAAAATACGAATTTGTTTACAACCTACAAAAACAACTGTTATCAATAATTCGAAATAACAATAATTTTATTATAAGTTTATTGATTTGAAATTAAATCTAATTCTTAACAATTTGAAACATTTCATAATCTTCTAATAAGGAACATTTTGTATCTCTTATACTTTATTCATATTCTCTCTGATTGCAATAAACCTTTCTATAAACGGTACCTTTTAAATAAAGATCACTACTAAATGAGGGACCATAGAGAAAGCCATAACGCAATGCATTATCTGCATTCCTTACATGGCTTAAGATTGGATCTTTGAATTTATCCTTATTTTTAAACGAAAATATAAAACTATCTTTTGATTTACCAAATTCAGAAACTAAACCATTAAATTTCTTCCATATTGTAGGATTATATCCTCCAAGAATTTCTTTCGTATCTTTTATTTTAATAAATGTAACTGTTAAATTTTTATTATCACATAATTCATGAAACTTGTCATCGGTGAATCCATCTCGGCTTCCTCGTAATAATAATTCAAATTTATACGGAAAATAAAGTTCCCTTACATGAGCAAATTTGTTTTTAATTCCACTTTATCAATCCATTTTGAAATTATAGAAACAATATTTAAATTAACAATAGTAGTATCAATAATTCTATCGATATTTCTACACCTAGGGAGTAAAATATTATTGCTTGGTTCGCTGTTGGAATTCAAATAAGAATTTATCAATTCATCATAAAGTTGATGTTCCAAAAGCTTTTTGTATGGATGAACCTTTTGGATGAATTCAACAGAAGATAAACTAAAATATCTAATTAAGGGTAAACAATGTTGTAAAGTATTTTTCATCATCTTGAAATCATCATCCATCCAAGTTATAGGATCTGGAATAAGTGTCGGATTTTTATCAAGGCCCCATCTTATTACATATTCCCAAACATCAACTTCTTCCATCTGTAAGTCATTTCTCTTTATCAGTGAAATTAATAATTTTTCAGGAACCGAAGCAAAATCTAACGATTTAAATATCTTTTCAGGGGACTTGGTAATAAAATCCGTACAACATTGTTGAAGTTTCAAAAACGAATTGGATTGAAAACTTATTCTATTAATAAGCTCAAAATGTTGTTTCATCAATTCGGCTATATTTTCAACTAGGTATTCTTGTAAATATTCAACTAGTTCTAGAAGACGAAGTTCTTCAGCAGCAGTTAATACCTTTAATGCATCTGAAGTAGATAGTTCATTTAATGAAATGATTCCTCCATAAATATATCTTATTATCAAAAAAAATAAAAAAAAATAAAAAATAAAAAAAAAGTATTTAAATTATTTTTAATATTTAAATTATTTTTTAATATGCAAAGAAAATAACTTAATAATCACACTTTAAATAATTGGAAAGATTTCTGGTGAAATATTCGGCAACTTGATGTGATTTAAGACGCCATCATTCTTCTTATTGGAATCCAAATTTCGTCGAAAAAATGGAGAACGGTAACACAAAATAATCATGTGCGCACGAAAAATTTTCACGTCCGGGTCTTTCCCAATTTCAATTGTAATATCATAATATTCATTATTTTCTAAAATTTCAATATAATTTTGACTTAATTTGGAAAAAAAAAAAATTGTTTTGACAAAATTTCTTTTTTAAAAATGTAATTTGTGAGGAGAAACAAAACGTAACGAATATTTTTGCAAATCCATTTAAAATGTCTATATTTATACCTATCAGCATGAAGATCCTTGTGGACAGTACATGATTTAATGACCCCAATTTAAGACTTTGAAAATATTCTAACTAGTGTTACATGTTATATTAAATATAATTTTGCCCGGAAACTCCGTTTTCGATATTTGCAGTTAGTCCTTTAAAGATCATTTTGTCAGGTGCCAGGTTGTGATGACAATGCCAGGCTGTTCTAATAATTTCTTTTTTTTTATAAATACGAGAAGGAAATCCATAAACAACTTAACATTCCACGCTCGCCCTTGTATTTACATACATACACCTTAAAAACCTTCCTTTAATCCCTTCGCGATATTTTCACTTTCGTAACTTCGTTTTTTTAATCTTATTATTTTATTATTCAATTTTTCGTAATTGCAATAGGGCTCTTAATCGAATCGAGTAGGATCGATGATTGATTATTTCAATCAATTTTTCGATCGGATTCGATCAAAATTGGACTAACTTTATAATCGATTAAATTTCCTATAGTTGATCGATCAACAATCGATTATGTATAGTTTGTATAAAAAAAATTCTTGATATTTTACATTGAAAGTTATTTTATTTGTAGTTACATACATTATTTTTTTTTTTGTCAGAAAACGCATTTCAGAGTATCGGAGTCTTTATTTATTATATTTTGAATATTATAAGATCAGATGATCAACGTATGCAATTAATTTTAACGTTTTAACGTGAAAACTTTTAATTTAATAACTTCTAAGATGCTAGACCAAACAAACTAAAATTATTTCAACCCAGCCAACTAAGAAAAATAATAATATTTGATTTGTCTTCAGATATTAATCAGCTTGAATAATATTAGAACCCCACAAGTTTTACCTGCAATGAATCCATTTCAATAGTGGATTGATAATTAAACAGAAGTTTCCAACTTTATTTAAAATAGCTAGAAAATATTTTGGTGTTATAGCCACTTCTGTTCCAAGTGAACGGGCTTCTTAGTGATGACGTGTATCTAATTACTAATAAATAGACCAGTTTAAAGCCAAAGACGGTTAATAAATTATTATTAGTAAAACGAAAAAAATAAATATTAAATCTTTTT